CTGCAAAATAGCCGGCCCCGACTGGCTTTTTTGCATTCGGGCCCCTTGCAGCCCCACCAGAGGGCGGCAAGGGTTTTCCTGCAAAAAAACCCTCCCTCCGTCACCGCCCGTTCCTCCCCCGTTTGCCACGTCAGCTTGCCGCCCCAGAGGTGGGCGGCAGGGTCTATTTTTGTAATTTTTTTGGCCGATAGATTATTTCTGTAAATATTTTTTTAAAAAAATCTAAAACCGAAAAAAATTCTGCAGGCGATGGCCACCACGCATCGGCATCGACGCATCGCGCCGCCTCGCGTCTCGGGCTCTCGGCGTCGTCGCTGCGCGCGACCGCGCCGGCTCGCCGCCTCCCGCCCCTGAGAGTGGAGACAGGGGCAGGCGACGCGACGCGACGCGACGCCGCCATTCTGCCCCCGCCACCCCGCGCGCCGGCGCCGGGTCCCCTGGGCTCTCCGCCTCAGGCCTCAGCGCCTCGCTCGCCTTCGACTCCCTGTCCCTCTCCAGCTCTCTTGCTGCCCTGAGTGCAACGGTATAGCTCTACTGCTCTAGTCTCTACTCTAGAGTTTAGTCTTTAGTTTTTCATTTCTTGCTGCCCTGTGCACTAGTGCGTAGTCAGTACAGTAGTGCTAGTGCTTCCCTGTTCTTCTAGTTAGCGAAGAAGATATTATAAAAAAAATGAGGACTCAGAGAGTACATAAGAAGAAATAGTGTATTGTAATCTTCTACATATCTATGTAAGATGTTTGAATTATTTATGTTGTAAACTTTCGTTACTTCAAACTTAAATGTTGGTTTTAAGCAATTTGTGATGCTGTGAGATTTACTGCTATATTTGAATTGAATTTGTGACAATGTGGTAATTTGGAGCGTCAAGTAGGACCACCCAACAAATTGTTCGTGGAGCCGCCACTGCCAAGCACCCACCTTTTCATCCCAACCTAGTTTCCACCGTGGGGCTGGGCACCCAGCTGGGGCGCCAAATTGGAGTTTTGACATGCCTTAAATCGTGTAAGGGTTCAGAATTCGGATCTGGAAAACGTCAGTGTTTGGCTGTTTGCAACACGCAACGCAGGGTTCTTGCTGTAGTACAGAGTAACGAACTTAGTTTTTTTAATCTAATCTGTGTTCTTCCCCCTGAAGAGAGACAAGTGAACGATTGTCGGAAGACTTTGTACCAGAACCACTACACTAAAAAGGACTGATTGTGACTATGTTCACAGGCTTTAGTGTACAGCTAATGAAATAATTGTACCTTGTACGGTATCAAGCTAAGAGCAAGTTTAATAGTATAGCCAATTACGGGCTCCAAATCATCTATAGCTAATCTAATAGCCATTCATACAATAGTTAACTATAAAAATATATTACACCATTAATACCCGGTCCCACCTCTCATACAAACATAACGTCTTGGAGTCTGTGTTGCAGCTAGCTACAAATCTATAGCCCGCTTTCTTCTCTCTCTTCTCTTTTCTTCTCGATATGTGGTTATAGCTGGCTTATAGCCTGCTATTGTACCTGCTCTAATGTGTTTACGGAATCATGCAACATTGTGATATCTTCTGCCTCTAGCAGCAAACAACCTGCACAATGTTTTTAAGCATCCTTTTAATTCATAGCAAACAACCTGCACAAGTTTCTCGGCATCCTTCAATTCAGGGAAGCAGCATTGAAAAAATTGGTTTGATCCGTTAATTCATGAACAGCAGGGCACATTCTAGTTTCGTATGAAAATGGTAGTTTTTTCTTTCGTCTGCTTTGCGTTTCTGCTTCTCTTAGAATTCTTTTACTTTTGTATTATGCCTCCGAATATCATTTAGAAATGATTTCTGATGTTGATGTTTGTCATGCCTATTGTTACTTATTGAGTTAACTAATTGCTCGAATGAGTTTATACATCAGCATTTTTTATTTATTTATGCAGCTCTAACCACAAGTCTGGAACATTTCTCCAGGTGACCTCTGTGAGTCTGGGAGCAGGTAAATTAAGTAAACATGATATATTTGTTCTCTAAAACTGTTCTCTGATACAGGTATACTGCTTGGATATTCTTGGCAGCAATATCACCATCTCCCCAGTTTTCAGTCAATGGGGTTGGATTTACGGATGAGCCTTTCTCTTTTCCTCAACATTTATATCTCCTCTCTAATTTTCTTGATCGTATTCCATGTCATATTTTTTGGCCCGTGGTATCCTGGCCTTGTTTCTCGTATGGCAGAGGAAAAGTCAGATATGCTTATTATAATCCAAGATTGTGCAGTAAGTTTCTTGGTATCAATAATTATATGAGTGTTCTGTATTTTCACCTAATCTTGTTTAGTTACCTTTTCAGCTGTCCCTTATCCATGTTTCTGCATTTTGTGCCTTGTTGCAGGTTAAAGTATAGCTTGCTCTGTACTTTACAGCCACTGACCCGCTGTGGTAACAAGACGTCGTCTCAAGAGATAAATCTATTAATCGTAGAACTGCTAGCTGGATTGTGTTCTCTCTGTGGGAAAAAAAAACATGAGGACAATTCACTTATTTCAAAGCTATCACGTATGCATAAGTTTAAAGAGCAGATTTGTTCATCCTGGTTTGTCTCTGCTAGTGATTACCCTCTTCTATCTGAACGGGCAATTTATGGAGAAGTTAGTACGCTTCACCTTTTGCGTTTCTATTGCTGTTTTTTTTAAAGTTAATTCCTATCTTTTATGTTTGATCCAGTTAGCTTCTAATGGATCCTGATGTTCCAATGATATTTCACGTGTCTACTCATTATGGGCTACATGCATTGGTCTTTACATAGCCAGTTGTGGAGCGGTCCATCGGGTGTGCCAACCATCTGAACACATCCACCTGATAATTCTCTATTGGTGTGTGTTATGAGAATTCAGAAGTCAAAGATATGGGTTCTGTCATAATGAGAAAGCAACACCTGATATTGGAAAAGGGAACTAAATTCACCATTTGTTTATCTAACTGGGCACTATATATACGAACTAAAAGGAAATCCCATGTTCACATGGTGTAATTGTATTACATCCAAAAAATAGTAGAAACTAAAAGTCTCCTTGGTTTGTTCAGATTTTTTTTAAACTCAGTTTTCGTATCTTTTGTTTCATTTGAGTTGCTTATAGATGGGCTCTAACGGTGGGTATGAAAAAATGAAGAAACAGCTGAAACCAGATTTTGAGGGTACTCTGGGTATGCTGATGAAACTCTACCTTTTGCTATCGCACTTGATGCAATGTACTTATACGGTTTTGGAGTTTCCGTATTGATATTAGTGTACTCCACAAAGATGGTGATTTTTTTCCTTTTCCCGCAGACATCCAAATCCGTCCTCGTTTTCATATGAACGGCATCTTTTCTTCCCTTTCTAGTATGCCTTCCAGCCACCTGCTTGGTATAAACTTGAACATGTAGCATTGGTGAAACCCGAGTTTCTGAGCTCAGGAAATATCATGGACGACAGTGTCTTATTGTTCTTGGAAACCATGATAAGTGTTACTCATTGCTAATTTTGTGCAGTCCCATCATGGTTTACAACGTTTTCTTACCATGTATTCCTTGCCATTTGCTGACATGTTTTATTTGTTATGCTAATGATGTTTTGGCATGGAATTTCCCACGATATTTCAAAGACACTACTGCGGGTTGATCTATCAAAAAATAGGACTGATAAAATCATAATTGTTTTGAGCAGATTGGTTCACTGCACACATTCATGAGGTATATATGTCATAAAAGTTGGCTGGGTGAGTGATTTCTACCTCAGAAGATCATGAATTATTTAGCCTTAAAGCTTCCTGATTGGTGGTGGGTTTTTGGCCTTGATCAAGCACTTCATGTTGACATTGATATCTGGAGTTCAAGTCTTTTTCAGAGCGTCAGAAGAAGGTAATTACATTGTGCCATCTTTTAAGGTGTTAGCAAATTAATTTTGTGGCCTATGCTATGGTGTACATTTCTGAATTTGATGATTCAGTTCTTCTGGAGAAAATGTAATTTGATTCCAGTACACCAGCAACATTACTCTACACATTGTTGTCATGAGCAAAAAGTTGTGCAAAATTCCATGTGAAGTTTGCTGCGTGGGGATTTTTCTTAGTGACTGATACTAGTGAGTTTTGCAGGTTGAACAACAAGAAGTGAAGAGGTTTGTCACTACGATGGTGCTGTTCTGCCCTTTTGGCAAGAAGTTGGAAGAGTGGTGTCTTCAGGACATCCTTTGTTGCTTTTTTGGTGTTCCTTCTGCAGTCCTGGAACTGATATTTATATGTGCCCACAATTGGTGATAAATGACACTACTTATCTAGATAAAGAGTCCTGTTGTTAGCTCCACAATCTCTTTAGCTAAAGAGACAAGAATGCTATAGTAGTATGAAACTGTCAAGTTTCTCGCTTTACTGTTGTTTTGTGGCTGTACCACGAAGACTCTTGTGTACAAGCAGAAACTCCAAAAGTTTCTTGCACTAGAACATCTGGGAGAACAAGAACACCCAAAGGGAGAAGGCTTTAAACTGAGAAGTAGCCAAACCTCTACTCGCACTCCGGAAGGCTACATCCAGTCACCATTTTGCAGCCTCAGAAATGGCATCCATCAAAGTCGAAACCGCAGAAGAAGCTATGGTACGGGACAACGGACTTGATGTCGTTCAAGGCATTGGTGCTGAAACCACGGGCCCTGAACAACTCTTGCATCTTTCTCGAACCTGGCTGAAGGCAGAACATCCGACCAACCCTGGCCATATGGAGAAAAATGGCGCCGCCATGGTGAGCGAAGCCGACGAGGCGAGGTGGACTGAAAAGCTGAATCGACGCGCGTAGCGTCCATGCCATGGCACCGGCACCGGCACCTGCCGTCTCCCTCACCCACACGTTCAGCACGAGGTCATCAGTAGATGCGAATCCTAGCCCACCCCCCTCCGCCGCCATCAGCAGCGCGGCGCGTCGAGCGTATCTCCGGGCTCGGTGCGGCGGCGGCGGCGACTCCAGCACAGTCAACTTCTCCTCGTCCATGTCATACTCTAGTGGGGAGGAAAAGCTTCCTTCCCACAAGGACGCAGGCCTTGGTATCAATCTGATCCTTCTCCTTGTGCAGAATCTCATCGCTCCAGCCATCGGTGTAGGAAGAGTACATCCTGAGAGAGCTGTAGGAGTCCATCGTGCGAGTGCATGCGGCGACGACCAGAAATGGTCCCCCGTGGCAGTGAAGATGATCGTTATGGCACTCCAAAAGGCCACACATCACGGCCGCCGTCCAGTACTGCGTCTCGACGGGGAAGGGAAATCCATCGATCCACTGCTCCTCTTCTTCTTCTTCTTCCACCATTGGATCCCAGACTACGAATCGCTCCTCCTCGTCGGAGCAAACCCTCACGTAGAAGAGGACCAGGCCGTGTCGGCTGTCAACCGCTGATGCGAGGTCGTATATGTCGGGACTCGCCCTGAATGTTGTCGTCATGTGGACGAATCTTGCGATCTCCATTGGCTTTCCGGGTTCATCCTCGTTGATGAAGTAGCCAAGCATAGGAGGTGGATCATGGAACTTGCGGAGGAGGCGGATGAAGCAGGGGTCGCCGAGGATCGCATGCCATTGCTTGCAAACCAGCTGGAGTCGGGCGAACAGGGCTGGGTCCTCCGGTGGGGGGCGAAGGAGAATCTCGGTCACCATATCTTCATTGAGCACATCGACGAGTCCGCAGCGGCTGCTTGAGGCCGTGGTGTTGATGATGGCGTCGCCGGCGGAGCTCAAGTTGAGGCCGTCACTTGGGAGCTCATCATGAGCATTGCCGACCGGAGAGAGGTCGACGATGTCCTTGTCGCCACCGCCGGCCACGGCGTCTGACCCGAACCTCCACCCGCCGAACAAGCTGGGGCTCTCAATCCACGGAATCCACGACGGCGGCGGCTCGTATGGCGTCGCCTTGCCGGTGAGGCCATCGTGATCGAGGACGCCGTGGCCGTTGGGGAAGGGGACGATGTAGCTGCCGCCTAAAACACTAGATCACCGGCATACCTAGCGTTTAAGATTTGTAAACAAAGATAATAGGAGCCGAAGTCAATCCCTTAAAACACTCCTCCCCGAACCTCCTCCTGTATCTACTATTGGTTGACTGAAAATAAACCAAAAGCAAGGGTGGTTGCACATCTTCTGAAAAGAAAAGGGCTCGGTATCGAGTCATCTACTAAAAAGGACCCTCCCCGCTGTGCGCCCCTCCTTGAATTATTCGGTCATGCAATACTTTTTTTAATACAAAGAACAAAATGCATTTCGACCTGGAGCCGGCCTCCTCCTGATCCTGGACGAGGCGGCCACCGATCCCGCTGCTCTCGGCGAGGGAGGTGGAGGTCGTCGTCGTCCCCGCCGCCGCCAGCACCAGCGCCGCGCCGGGACCGGTGGTCATCATGTTGCCGACAATGGCGGTGCCCCCGCTGTCGGAGTCGGCGGTGTCGCCGCCGATTAGGCCATCGATGGGCCGTGGCTCGAACGGGGTGGGGAGGTGGCGGGGGCCGTTGGGATCAGCCATCGTCGCGAGGCGTGATTTGAAAGGGGCGAGGCGTGGTTTGGTGGTGGGGGAGAGAAGGTCTCAGAGAGAGCAAGGGGCCCGTCTTAAATAGACGGGAGGTAACTTGCTCGGTAAGCCAGCCTCCACCGCCGTTGCTGGCTGCCGTGCTCGGCCTCGGCGATGAGAAGCTTGAAGCTTTTTCTCGCCGATGCCAACGGCCATGTGGCGATTAAACAGGAAGGTGACTCGCCGAGTGCTCTTCTCGGTTTATTGGGCCAGAGGCTTTTCGGCCCAACAGAAGTGTGGACCTTTTGTACTTGTGAAAAAGTTTACCCTTTGATCCTTATCCCTTAACCGTAAAACCATGCAGGTTTTAAGGACGATTTTCGCTGACATGGCATCCATGCAGCAATCTAATTATCAGATAATTAAGAAAATAGAGTGGACCTGTTTGTAAGTGACTCCCCTCTTCTCTCATCTATCCTCTCCAATCCGCATTCTTCTCGACGTCCTGTAGGTCCTACGCTGGCGTCAGCCATCTTGCGATGCGCCACCCACGTGTCCTTGTCGAAGTTTAAGATAATCGAGCACACTATCACAGAAGAGGAATTGAACACACAGTAGAAATCTACTCTAGCAATTAAACGTGTAATCAAAATCTGCTCCTGCAACCGAACGTGCAGTCGAAACCTGCTCCTGCAATCGAACACGGCAAGAGGGCGATCATGGACTTCATTGCTGTCAAGAATAGGAGGGAGAGAGGCCCCATGGGAGGATGGATAGAGGGAGGAAGAAAGAGTGAGAGTGTGGATGACACACATGTTTCAGGCCACTGACATGTGGGCACCACATAATATTCCTTGATGACATAGCATTTTTAACCATGTCAACGTACCACGTCACCAATACCACTATCAATACTATCTTATGAATCATTTTGTACCGGTTTTAATAGTTGAGGTATTCGTTATATCCGGTTTTATGGTTGAGGGATATGAATTAGATTGACCTATAATTTAAGGGAGCCAAATTGGAATTTTTAGTTTTACTCTCAACAAAATGAGACCCACAATTAGATTACCGGAAATAAAAGGGCCAGCTATCAAAAACTTCAAAGCAATTACAAATCGGGCGCCCGATTTGTTTCTCAAAAATTGGGCGTTGTTTCATTTAGGGGTGAAAACGGAGCGGATTCGGACGATAATGGTCATACCATATCCTAAACCATATATTTTAAGCGGGTGCGGATAGTGTACGGATGCGGATACGGAGCAGATTGTTTCGGATGTCGAAAATGGTGCGGAATCAGTTCGGTAACGGATTAAATTTATCGGATGTTACGTGTGTACGCAATCGATACAACATCGAGTTAGCAATGCAAGGAACAATAATACAATAATCAATAAACGACCCATCGTAATAATTATGTGCTTAAGTGTTAATCAACATGAATATATGATGCCCATAATATAAAAGTACAGCTACGACAGTGTGACATGAGACAGTGAAAGCCTCAGACTAAGAAATCTAGGTTAACTGATGAATTAGGCAATTGGATGAACCAACTTATGTAAGATGCAATAGATAGAGTGGTTACATGTGTTGATAATTTCGGATTATCTGGCAAACAGCCTATCGGATAATCTGATAGAAATGTCGGATAATCCGTATTCGCTGGATTTTAGAGATACCATATCCTCATCCGTATCCGCATTGTACTATCCGCATCCGCATCCATATCCGCCATATTTCTAAAGCACATACCATATCCTCATTTCGGACGGATTCGGAGCGGAACGAATCGATCCGTTTTCACCCCTAGTTCCACTAGTCGAATAAAAATGTTTCACCTATTAGATCGAAAATGTTTCAATCCCTTAAAATGTTGAAACACATTTGAAATAAGACTGAATCATTTTGGTGCAACATATGAAACATCGAATATCCCCCTACTGAAACACCAACAAATAAATATCAACCAAGGACAAAGATATGAAACACCATCAAAATCCCATCGCAACATTTCAATCCAATACAAAAGAACATCAAATTACAATATATAAACAACAGTTTCAAATATATTGAAACATGAAACACATCTGAGTATATCAAAAAAATAATGAAACACCATCGAAAAACCCATTGCATCATTTCAATCTGGCTAATGAAACATAATGGTGCATGGGCTGAAACATCAAAAAATTCAAGAGAAAAACCTAGATCTATCTCTTCCTCCGCTCTAGTGGTTAGCTACCACATGAACTGGGATGCTGTCACGCCCAGAAATTTAGCTCAAATTTCCAGACTATTTTATGTATTAAATCCCTGTCCAGGATCAGGCAGGGTACATAAAACGACAAGTAATATACAGTTCCAAATGCAAATAAAAGCGTAAATACTTACAGAAGAGACACTTAATCCTCACACCGAAACGAAAGCAACAGCAGCGGAAAAAGGCGATCCTAGCGGGGCTTCAGCTCCACTCCATAGGCAAAACTCAATTGGGGTCTGAGCCTTGGTCTTCTAACTTCGTCTTCAGCTCAGAAGCACTACACTTCTGAAAAGGGGGAATAATAGCAAGGCTGAGTACAACCACCGTACTCAGCAAGCCACACCAACGATGCAGACGTGCAAGAGGAACACAAGGACGGTTTGTGGCTATTGCATAAAGGCGGTTGTAAAACATTTTATTGAGCAAAACAGTAAAATTGTTGAGTAATTAAAGTAACATTAAATCTCAACTGATCAACGCTACACCACGTTGAACAGGCCCAATGTGGACCCCCGTTTTTATAACAGGAATCAATCGTGTAACAGTACCATTTCCCTGGATCAAGTAGTCTGGTACATACGAGTTCATAGCTGAAATACCAAATACACATACACGAGAGTCTAGTGCGAATTATTACATCATAAGCCCGCAGGCATAGTCTTAGATCATCGGACTGAGCGGTCCGGAATACATTCCAAAAGCAGAAGTAGATAAGGCAGCGGAGTTAAGGCAGCGGCACGCCATTGCCACAGGCAACGACCGTAACTAAGACCTACTGAGCGCCATCGTCTTCATCACCCTCCTGGTAATAGTCATAGGGATCCTCCGAAGCTTCATCTCCGGCCTCTGATTAAGTTTATATATTGCAAGGGTGAGTACCAACCGTACTCAGCAAGCCACCACAGCAACAATGCACATGATAGGGGTATTCAAAGGATGGCTATGGTTCTTTTGCGCAAAGTAAGTTTTGTAATTCTTTTCACAAGCCTAAGACCTAGCATAGACTAATCAAATTTTAGTACCAGTGTTCACATTAAACAACGACGGTTCTATCCACCATCCATTGTGATCCCAAGAATAGCTTCTGGCCATTGAGTCGTCATGGTTTTTCTGAGGACGTCCATCTTCCCTCCTCTCAGGAAATGGCTCCATCAGTATAGAAATCATCATGCACTATCCCATCCCACACATGTTAAGAATTTAGAGTCTAGCCAAGTGTAATACATGTCCCGGTGCTCAATAACCGCGAGCACGGCTATTCGAATAGATTTGGTTTACTCACACTACAGTGGATGTACACTTTACCCGCACTCCGCAACTGCCCAACACATGAGCCTCGTCCCAACACATGAGACGTGTCACGGCAAAGCTTTTTGATAACCTCGCATTGGCAGTACCCGCTCCATGAACTTTACATCCTCATGCACTCTAGGCGTACACGGTTTCTAGCAGTGAGAGGAGTTCTGGCGCACCCGGGAAGGAAAGACTCACACATGCATTAAGTTATAAGTATGTTTAGATTCTCACATGGCAGTCCTGCCGATGGCGACACCACTGTAGACACCCGCCTCGCGGTCCTACCAATGGCTGCTCCACCGTAGAGCCCCTGCCTCACACATCAAGAAACCATTATGCATGGATACTGCCTCCGCTCAGCTATCTACTCCGCTAGGTCTATACCCATACGAGAAGTGCGGTTGTACGGGGATCGTTTCATGCTTAACTTCATGGCTCGGTCCTTAATTAACCGGGGACGGCACTAGCCTTTTCCGGACACCACCCAAATCCTCCGTCCGCTCCAGTCGAAAACAGTTGTTTAATTTTTATTTCTCCTTTCATAAATCATGTCATCAACATCATGGCAATGTGGCGCTCATGTCTCCACATGCCGCATCTCAATTACCTTCCCAAAGGTAATTGCCCAAGCATATAGCATTTGATAAATATGAGTATGCATGATTCTAAAATAGCATTTCTAAGCAATTGTCATAATTGACTAGGGACTCATACGTAAACATGGTTACGAAGGCATAAGGGTAAACAATAATCAAGGCATGGCATAATCACAAGTAGGATGTTCATAATTGCATGCAATTTTATTTGTAAACAAAATAATTTCGCAATTGGGATCGACATGTTCAAGGAATAGTGATGACTTGCCTTGCTCGTAGTCCTGCGGGTCTTGATCCTTGCTCGGATCCGCAACCCCCTCGGGCTCTAAAATTACGTGCGAAGAAATGATTTGAATTCAATTAGAATTCAAATAAAATCCAATAAACTCAAATAAAAGTCGAACGCGAATCGATCTGCCTATATCGACTACAAAGTTTGCGAAACCACGTTATTCCAATTTTAGTGTCATTCAACCTAAGTTATTTCGTGATTTAGAAGTACACTCCTGAGGATTCAACATAATTATTTAGCTCTTAATAAATCTAAACTCCTACCGCGAATTGATTACTTATAGAGATTACCAAAAATAATCTATAATTATATTAAGTTTTGCAATTCTACGACTATAATTAATCTATAATTAAATTCTAATTATTCTAAATTTTCTAAACCTCCTTATTCTCTCTCTAATTTTCTATTTATTTTTCCTTTTCTTTTTCTCTCTGTTTTTTTTCTCTTCTTTCTTTCTTTCTTCTTTTCTTTTTCCTCTCCTTTTTTTTCTTTCTCTTCCTCCCGGCTTCTTTCTTCCTCCCTCTCTCGGCTTCTCCTCACCTCTCTCTCTCTCGGCTCACGGCCTACCCGGGCGGCGACGGCGACCGGACGCGAGGGGAGGGCGGCGGCTTACCGACGGCGGCGGCGGCGACGGCGCCGCAAGGCGTGGTGTCGCCCGGCGCGGCACACGGCGCGGTGCGGCGGTACCGAGGGCGTCGACGCGGCGGCACAAAGGCGGCGGCGCAGTGGAGAGGGTAGAGAGGAGGAGGAGGGAATGGAGTGGGGAGAATAGGGGAGGTGGGGTTTTTATAGGGAGAGAGGGAAGAGGGGGCCGGTTAATGGCGACGCGACAGCGGCGCACAGAGCTCGGAACGACGGCGACGCGCGGCGACGCGACGGCGCGGGGCGCAAGGCGGCGAGGGGACGGGCGCGCGGCGACGGGACGGGCGACGCGACGACGGAACAGGGCTCGAGGCGACGGCGGCACGCGCGGCGCGGCAGCGGGATGGTGACGGCGACGGCGCAGCAGCGGCGGCTCGGCGACGCGACGGCGGACGGCGCGGTGTGGGGCGCAAGGCGCGAGCGCGTGGCACGAGGCGGCGACGGGACGATGGCGACGGCGACGGCGTGCGGCAACGCGCGACAGGCAAGAGGCGCGGCGCGGGGCGCGAGGCGGCCAGCCGCGCGCGGCAGAGGAGGGGGCAAGGCTAGGGAATCCCATCGAGCACCTAGAGTGCAATGAATAGTGTATTTTCCTATTTATCCCTATTTTAGCCTATTTCCTATATAAATTTTATTCTATAAATCCTAATTTTTGCATAAATGAAGTGTACTCAATATTTGTGTTATTCTAACCAATAGATACACCCTAGATTAATATTACCCATATTATAATTTTATATAATTTATTTGAATCTTTAATTAGGGCTAACTCTTATTCCAACGCACTTAAATTTAAATTTAATTGATACTAATATGGTCGCGATAATATTTTTATTTATTTCTATCCTCACCTAATCTTTATTTTAAATTGTATTCCAACTATTTATTTAGCCAAATTAATTTTAGGGTTTATTCCTAATTAGTTACTCTTTATTCGCGATTAATGAACTCCGAAATCAAAATCCAATGAAATAGGCAATAAAATCGGCATGATGCAATTTATTTAAAAAGTTTTTGAAAATCCGTATTTTTAGAGTTTTGATTTTGTTGGTCGAATTTTCAGGGTGTTACACCCAACCAACCCACCTGAACTACAGTGCATTGGGTCGATTTATTAAGTGTGAGACTAATCACGGTGAATCTGGTCGACCGCCCATAACCGCGGGCACGGCTATTCGAATAGTTTTACTCTGATCAGAGGTGTACAACTGTACCCACAAGACACAGCCCCACGACATGTTTCCGTGCGCTGACATGCCACCACGACATACCGGAAAGAGGCCGTGAAAGGACCCTTCGCATAACCCCCTCTAACCAAGCACACCACACCTCAGGTTTAACCCCCACTCCTCGCAAGGCAGCGGGCAGTCCCCTCTCGTGCCTAGGTGAATCCGGAAGCCGCATAGGCCATCGCAGGGCCCATCCAAACTCCATCACGCCCACCCTTGCCTAGATGCGTAAGCTAGAGGAAAGCTACACTACAAGCCCAGCCGTTGCCCACGCTGGCTTGTGGTAAGCACGATAAATTCTTCCAGGGTTTCCCACGAACCGGTCCTTAATTGCCATGGGCACGACTAGCAAAACCATGCACCCACAGCCCACCATGTAGTCGCATTTTAGTTGGATAATTACGACCATGAAGCATGGCCAGATGTCTCGAGCACGCAGCTCATTCTGATACTAAAAAGGGTCTAATACTGTAATTATCCCATCAACTGAGCTAGTGGTAATTAAGCATGGCTAAGCATATAGTTTTAGCTAGGTCACATAAGTAACATGAGCTAGTCGATTTATTACCCAAGGTTGACAAAGGACAGATATCAAGTAAATATGGCACAAGCAAACAGATAGGTAATACCCAGATCCCATGTAATTAGCAAGACATGCAATTTTATTTGCAAACGATAAAACATTTGTAAATTAGGATCAAAATTCTGGGAATGTGTGACTGTAACGTCCCGCCTTCCCCCAGGCCGGGCCCACTTACATATGATAGCTTTCATAGGTCGTAACATGAGCTAGTCGATTTATTACCCAAGGTTGACAAAGGACAGATATCAAGTAAATATGGCACAAGCAAACAGATAGGTAATACCCAGATCCCATGTAATTAGCAAGACATGCAATTTTATTTGCAAACGATAAAACATTTGTAAATTAGGATCAAAATTCTGGGAATGTGTGACTGTAACGTCCCGCCTTCCCCCAGGCCGGGCCCACTTACATCTGATAGCTTTCATAGGTCATAGACTGCCCTCACAGACCAACACATGTCTTTTCTGCACACTTTGTCCTCACTCGTGTGCACCCGGGAAGAATAATTCTTCCCGGTCGGTCACCCATCCCAAATTGCACCAGGCCAAGCACGCTTAACCCTGGAGTTCTTTGGAGATTGGCTTCCGGAAAAGAAGTTGCAACTTGTTGATATAAGTATTCTATTAATCCTATTAAGCCCTAGGCCGGGATGTTACACCCTCACCCCCTTAAGAGAGATCGACGCCCCCGTCGATCAACCCTAGGCCAGGAACGTCCTCTCTTGGCCACGTCCATGTGTCCAACTGCGACACACGCGCCCGTGAAACCGCGAGAGTCGGCTCTGATACCATTTTGTAACGTCCCGCCTTCCCCCAGGCCGGGCCCGCTTACATCTGATAGCTTTCATAGGTCATAGACTGCCCTCACAGGCCAACACATGTCTTTTCTACACACTTTGTCCTCACTCGTGTGCACCCGAGAAGAATTTCCCGGTCGGTCACCCATCCCAAATTGCTCCAGGCCAAGCACGCTTAACCCTGAAGTTCTTTGGAGATTGGCTTCCGGAAAAGAAGTTGCAACTTGTTGATATAAGTATTCTATTAATCCTATTAAGCCCTAGGCCGGGATGTTACAGTGACTTGCCTTGCTTCTTCACAACAACCTTCCGAACTCTGATCCTCATGAAAGCGATCTTCCGAAACGACGAGAGCTACACGCTCGCACGTAAAACGAGAAAAAACTCTAATAAAAACCAATAAAACAGTACATTAAAAGTAAACAAACATGTAGAGCTTAATTTTATATGAATTTTGCAAGTTGAGTGGCCCAATTCAGAGTTCGAATGAATTAGATATGAATTTTAGAAGTTTTGAGCCATTTAAATGAATTTCTAGAATTATTATTTATTTATTGCGCAATTATAAATTATTTTCTCAGAGGAAAAGGGGGATGCTGACGTCATCAAAGGGGCCGGCGCTGACAGGCGGGCCCCATGCGTCAGCGGGCCAAGGGGAGGGTGCACGGTGGACCACGTCCACCGCGGCCTCGGGCGCGCCGTGGACCAGGACCACGCCGGCCCACGGGCGGCCACAGGGCAAGGCGGGCGCGGCCGAGACCGGCCGGCCGAGCGGCGACGGCGGCCTAGCCGGATGGCCACCGGCGGCGGCGGCGCAACGCGGGCGACCAGCGAAGGGGAGATAGAGGGAGAGGGAGGGATGCTCACCAAGCTCGCGCAACGGCGAGGAGACAACGGGAACGCGGCGGCGATGGACTCCTCGGGGAGGCACGGCAACGGCGGGACTCCGGCGACGTCCGGCGAAGGAGGAGCGGCTGGGGCACAACACAGTCTGGGAGAGAGGATAGAGGGGTTAGGAAGGGAGGAGGAGGCGCGGTACCGAGGGGAATTGCGGCCGGAGGCGGCAATGGCGGAGGTGGCTCGGGTACGTGGTGAAGGGGTGGTTTCGGTGGTGGCGAGGAGAAAGGAAGCGGTGGCCGGGCTTGGGATTGCTGCGGTGAAGCCGGTGGTGACGGTGACACAGTGCGGCGGCGGTTCCAGCCACGGGGAACGACGGCCGGAGCTCGCAAAGGCGATGGCGGCTCGGGTTGACAGAGGGGAGGGCGGCTCGGTGGGGGATTGGAGGAACGAGGCGGTGGCCGGTGCTCGGCTTGGAGCGGTGAAGCCGATGGCGCAAGCGGAGCGCCGCGGCGACGGCCAGGGCTCCGGTGGCGCGCAGCCGGAGTCGGTGGAGGCGGTGGAGAGAGGTGGTGCGCGTGGCGGCGGTGCTTCGGAGACGGGGAGGGGAAATGGAGCGGATGCCGGGGTGCGGTGGGGCGCTGCGATGCTATAGGTGGCAGCGGCGCAGTGCGGGGGCGACGGAAGCGGCGACGGCGCGCGGCTGGAGGGTCGCCGGCGTGCGGCGGCGCACGGGAACGGCGTGGGGAGCTCGAGAGAGCACGCGGGAGGGGGCGATGAGTTGGGGAAACGGATGAGGGGAGGCCGGGGTGCATTTTTATAGGCCCCGGAGAGGGAGATCGTGGCCGAGGTGGGCGGCAACCGCCGGCGGAGGGAGCTCCGGCGACGTGGGCGAGTGAGGCTCGAACGGCGCCGATTTTTGGGGAAAATAGGGGAGAACGTGGAGGAAGGGGAGGACGTGGGGTGGACCACGTCCACACGCGCGCGGGAGCGGGGAGACGCGCGGAGGAGGCGGCGTCGTGGGGCGGCTCGGGCGTCCATGGCGGCGGTTGGAGCCGGAGGAAGGGGATGGGCCTGACGGGTGGGGCCGTGGGTCCCACCTATCAGCCAAAGGAAGAGAGGGGAAGCCGGGTGGGGGTTTTCTGGACTTTGGGGGAGAGGGGAGCCGAGCTGGCCGAGCGGCCCAAAGAGGAGAGGGGAGGGAGGCGGCCCGGCCGGAGGGGAAAGGAGGAAGGAGGGGAATGGGCCGAAAGCGGCCCAAAGGGAGAAGAGGGAATTTTATTTGCTTTTCTTTTTAATTAATTGATTACATGATCTTTGTGCTATTAAAATTATTTTTTGAGCTCCGAAAATTCATGCGAAAATTTCGGAGAATATTTAGGGCACAAAGAGTATTGCAAAATATTCTCGGCCAATGATTTTTAAAGGAAAAATTTTAAATTCTCCCATTATTTCACTTGATTGAATTGACTTAACTTTTATTTAATTTCTAAAAAATATATTATTTAATGATTTTTAATCCCGAAAGAAAATCGGGGCGTTACAGATGCCGCTGTGGATGAGGAGGTGGCACCGACGTACCCTAGAATCACTACCACGTGCTCATGTGGCAAATCTGCACCGTGGTCGTCGATGCAGACCAAGCTCAGCCACAACCGCGTGGCTGCCGTTGTCGATGCCGTGCCGAGCTCGGCCATGTCAGCCACAACTGCGCCGCCGCCATCGTCAACGCCGCGAAGCTCGGCCGCGTCCATAGAAGAGGGAGCGAGAGAAGCGAGGAAGAGGGAGAGCGAGATAAGAAACGAGTGGCTGAGAATGAGGAGCGCCCGATATTTTTATTTTTATCGGGCACTCAGGTAGGAACTTTTTCCCATAAACCTGTTTTGGGCTGAAAGCCCATATGTGTTTTGCAGGAAAAATAGTACTCTATTTTCTGGGGGAAAAAGTACACCGAAGGTCCCTCAACTTGTCATCGAGTTACAAAATCGTCCCGCAAAACCAGTTATCCAGCGTCCCTCATCTATCAAAACCGGTTACAATAGGTCCTTCGGTGTGTTTGACCCCGGTTTTGACTTACGTGACGGCTGAGTCAGCGTGGGACCTACGTGGGCCCCACATGTCATGCTGCCACATCACCCTCCTCTCTCTCTCTTTTCCCCTCTTATCTCCCTTCCTCATCTCTCTCTCTCCCTTCTCTGACAGCCGCCGGTGGGAGGATGAGGGTGTCGGCGGCCGGCGAGGGGCGACGCGGCGGCAGTGATGACGGCGACGAGCGACGCGGCGGCGATGGGGGAGAAACTGCAAGTGGGCGGCGAGGAGGAGCGGCGCGCGGGCGGCGAGGATCAGCGCGCGGGCTCCCCCGCCAGCCGCCGCCCACCGCCCACGAGGCCCACGAGGCAGAGGAGGAGGCGGCGAGCGGCACGGCGGCGACGACACGGCAAATTACAGAGGATATCACCAAGGTCCATATAAACAAGATAATCACCAGGCAAATTACTGCTGCTGCTGCTACTTCACCATTTGTGCATTTCCTCTTCTACTATCTTAGCTGCAGCTCGCACGCTTTGAGTACGTGCATTGTTCAACTGCCATTTCTCTCCTCAATTCAAAAAAAATATATTCACCTTTTTCTCATTCGAGCTAAACCATTTCGATCAATGGAATTCGGACGATCTCCAGCCCTTCTACTCCTCGTTGGTAAGTCCGAGAAACTTTCAGGCCGGTTAACTTTAGGCTGTTAGCACACATCTTCTTCATTCTTCAACAATGGCGTGTCTCAATGCAGGGTTCCTATGGTCACAGCTGCAGTTCGGCGCTGAGGCAGCCGGCACGACGGTCTTCACGCTGTGCAACAACTGCACCTACACCGTCTGGCCGACCACCTTGTCCGGAAACACAGCGGTCGGGGGCCATCGGGGGCGGCGACTTCAAGCTATCGCCCGGCGCCAACGTCTCATTCCCAGCCCCGGATGGTTGGTCCGACCGCTTATGGGCGCGCACGGACTGTGCACCCTCCGGCACCGCGTCCCTTGCCTGCGCCACGGGGTACTTCGGCGGCGCCGTGAGCTGCTCCCTCGGCGGCGCGCCGCCCGTCACCCTCGCCGAGTTCACGCTGGGCGGCGCCGACGGGAAGGACTTCTACGACGTGAGCCTCGTGGGCGGCGGCCGACGGGGGAGTCCGCGCGCCGCTCCTCCCCCCGCCGCACGCGCTCTGCTCCTCGCCGCCCCTCCCCGCCGCCCACCCGCAGCTTCTCCCCCCACCGCTGCCGCGTCGCCCCTCGCCGGCCGCCAACGCCCTCCTCCTCCCGCCGGCTGAGTCAGAGAAGGGAGAGAGAGATGAGGAGAGAGACAAGAGTGGAAAAGAGAGGGAGAGAGGAGGCTGATGTGGCAGCTTGACATGTGGGGCCCACGTGGGTCCCACGCTGACTCAGCTACCATCTAGGACAAAACCAGGGTCAAAACTACCAAAAGACCTATTGTAGTTTTAATAGTTGAGGGACCTTCAGTGTACTTTTTCCATTTTCTGGGTCACTCAGCGAGAATGAAAGCCCACCTAATTGGTCAGGCTGGTCTCTTTCCTTTCATCCGATCAGTCACGCGGCCGTTGCCAACTTGCCGTCCACGAGAGCAAGCAAAGCAACTTCAAAGCTTCTCGCCGCGGCAGCCACGGCCGCCGGAGTCCGGACGCTGTCGTGCGGAGCACGCCACCCTCATCTCTCTCTCTCTCTCTCTCTCTCTCTCTCTCTCTCTCTCTCTCTCACTGACACCTCCATCCCCACCACGGCCCCAGTTCAATTCAAATCACACCGCCTCGCCCCCCTCCACCGACATGGCCGATCCCAACGGCCACCACCGCTGCCTCCTCGCCGGTGCCCCAGGGTCGCCTCAACTTGGCCTCCGCCCCCGCCTCGTCGGTCTCCACTGCGACGAGCGCGTCGTCCGCTACGACGACCGCCGCCGCCGACTTCGCTCCCAGCAGCCGCGACATTCCCTTGCTCCCCATCGGCCAGTTTCCTCAGGACCACGTCAACTTGGGCTCCGCCTCCGCCGCCGGCGACGCCATGATCAACTCCGCCGGCGCTCCCGCTGGAGCTCACCAGTACATGACCAACCCATACGCCGGCGACGCCATGATCAACTCCTCCGCGCTCGCTGGTGCTCACCCGCACATGGTCAACCCACCACCGTACGCCGGCGCTTCTTCCTCGCGACTCCCCACTGCTTCCGCCGAGTGGAACATGGATTGGCTGCACGACGCGATGGCAGAACAGCAGCAGCCACCGCCGCCGCCGCAGTGGCAGGAGCAGAGTGTCTTCTCCCCCCCACCGCCTACAGCTTCATCCCCTCTCCATCACTCCATCTGGTTCACGCTCCATACCCATCCTTCGCCCCCTCCACCTTCTCCACGATCCCCACCATCCGACGGGAGTTCATGCCGGTGCCGTGTCAAGTTCCAGCCCCACACGCGCCGCCATTCCCCGCAACCTATCAGTATCCCGGCGCTCTTCCCGCCGCCACCACCCACACCATGAGGGACTCCTCGCCGATCGGAACATGGATACCGGCATCAATGGGAGATCGCAAGACGATGATGTGCGTGAAATTCAATCCGCACGGGTGGTGCAACGAAGGGGATGGGTGTCAATTCGCTCACCACGAGGACGAGCAACGAATTGTGCCGGGGAGGAGGGGCAGCCGCTGGTGGCATCGGTGCAATAAGTTCGCGACCAGAAAATGGTGCAAGTACGGGCGCAACTGCAGGTATTCCCATGGCCATGGGCGCCATGGCGGCGTATAGGCCGGAGGAGCAGCGCCATGGGAGGATGAGTCCTTCGTCTTAGCAGCAGCAGTTACCACGCGCGCGGAGGAAACACGTCAGGTTAGAGTCTGGATCATATGGCTGAATCCATCCGAATCATTTGGTTCAAATGCTTGCTTCTGTTGTGGACCTTGTGGTCAGATGAACCACTGCGTTTTTTTTTTTCTGTTTGTGATTTGATTTGAGTCCTGAATCCATCCGAATCTGAGTTCGACGAAGCACAAGTGCTGTTTGTTTCTGTTTTGGTCAGATGGGACATGGATTTTCTACACCTAGGTGCCATGGCATCTATCATTTGCATGTAACTCAAATAGTTATAGAAAAAATTAAAAAAATTTAGTAACATCGTTTGTGATGATACAAGTCTATACACAAACATACATGACTAAATTTGATCTACAACTAGAGAAACAAAAATAATAAAATCAGACAGTGAATAGTACGTACAGTGCAGATAAAATTTGTTATTTTTGTTTCTTCATATATCGATCGAATTTAGACTTGCATGTTTGCATAGTGTCTTATATTATTATGGACTATCTTATAAAATTTTATAAAATTTTTATATAAATGTTTGGGTGTAGAAAATACTTTCTGTGGTCAGATGAACCAATGTGTTTTTGTTGTCACTTGTCAGGGTCTAGTCTTAGTCTAGGGGAAGAAGACTTGATTAGAACCCATGCATTTGATTTGATTCTGAGTCCTAATAAACTTGATGCCTCGATGATATCGTTGATTGTTCTGGTATCTGGTTTCGATCTGGGGTTATTACAACATTGCTTGCTTCCTTGCTCTGGATTTGGGAATGTGGTGTGTACTATGTCGCTGTTTGGCTTGCTCTGGAAGTCTGGATTCGGTTTGGTAACGTTGATGCATTGAGATATTGTTATGATATCTGGATTCGATTGGGGAGAATGTATATTGGTTCATTGCTCGCTTCGGAACGTACATATACATGCCGCTGCCTTCTGCGCTGTACGACGCGGCCAGTTCATGATCTCGACGAGGAGCACGACTAAGTTATTGGTCGGTCAGAACTATGGGTCATCTGCTTTTCTTAGTTTGGGGCATTTAGATTTTGATTCATTTTGATCAAGCCTGCATTGTCCTTGTGTTTTGGGTTGCTGTAGCCTGTAAACTGATGAGAGACAGACATGTAGCTGACCTTGTTCTGTTGTAGACTGTCATTTCTATTAATGGAAATGGAGGGCTATGCCTTTGCTTAAAAAAAAGAGTAGCTATATTCATGGTATTATATTTTCAGAATTGCTAAAGCTCTGTCGACAGAAAATCCTACCTCAAATCTTGCAAATTTTGGATCATTGGACGTGCTTCACGATTCGTGCTCTTCTTCTCCAACTCCGGCGACCACCTCTTCTTCTCCGGCGCCGGCGAACCCAAACTCCAGTAGAGGGCCGACGAATTAGGGTCCCGGGGTGAGGTGGGGGTGTGGGGGGAGGGGGAGGGGGAGGGGGAAGGGGAAGAGGGGGGAGTTCGCCGGCTTTAGAGGGATGGCCGTGGGAGGCAGCAGCCCGGAGGTGGGCGGCGGATCGGGCGGGCGGCGAGGCAGCGGCGGCGCCGCCGAAGCCGCGGGGCTGGAGGACGGCGGCGGGCCGATGTAGGCGGCGGGGGCAAAGCGGAAAGAGTGGGGAGGAGGCGGCTGGTGGTGGCGCCCCGCCGCCGGTGACGGGGAAGACGACGGACAGCTCGTCGCCGCCGGCTTGAGGCAAAGGAGAGGAGAGGGAGGGGGAATAGGAGGGGGAGGGGGCCGGCCGGGGGGGCCTCGCCGGCGCCTTTGACACCATTCGGCCAGCTGGCGAGGCCGGGCGGCGGCGCGCTAGGGCGGCGGCGGCTGTGGTGGAGGCGCTGAGGAGCGGCGGCGCGTGAGGAATCGGGAGAGAGAGGAGAAAGGATTTTTAGGGTTTGGTTGCCTGCACGAATCTTAAAGCAATCGGGTGGTCTAAAATTTACAAGATTTGTGAGAGGGTTTTCTGTCAAATGATCTATAGACATTCCCTTATATTTTTTACCAAAAAATAGTCAGCATGTATTTACATTGTAAGTCTGTAAATTACATATGTAATTTTAGTATGTTTATAATGTAAATACCAAAAATTACATATGTAGGTTCAAAATTATATGTGTAATTAGTATATAATTACAGTGTAAGTATAATGTAATCATGGTGTAACTAACATGTATACTAATTACCCATACTCAAATTTGTTTATACGTACTCCTATATCTTTCTACTATATTAAGGCCCTGTTTGCATCCGGAGGGCTATTAAATAGCCCTCCGAAATCTTACTATTTAGAAATATTAAACATAGATTATCGACAAAACCCATTTCATAACTCCTAGGCTATTTTGCGAGACGAATCTAACGAGATATATTAATCCATGATTTGTTACAGTGATGCTACAGTAATCATCCGCTAATCATGGATTAATATACATCATTAGATTTGTCTCGTAAAATAGCCTAGAGGTTATGAAATAGGTTTTGTCGGTAATCTACGTTTAATACTCCTAAATAGCAATATTTCGGAGAGCTATTTAATAGCCCGAATATCCAAACAAGGCCTAAATAGGTGGTTCCTGTTTACGCTAATCACCGACAGCCTACGCGCGTAATACTGCTGCACGAATCTCAATGGAGCATCAATGGTAGAAAATCTGACTGAGGTTGTGTTCAGTTCAGTGCAAAGTTTGGATTTTAATTGAAATTGAAGATGATGTGACTGAAAAGTTGTATGTGTATGACATGTTGATATGATGGAAAAGGACTGAAGTTTAGATCTAAATTTTGAATCTAAACACAGCCTGAGATTAGGAACAAAATATGGCACAACAAGTTTAGCAAATTCGAAAAAAAAAATGTAGCTGACTTTGCTGAAATTATGCACGAGTAGTTAAATACTGTGCATAATTTCAGAGTTTATGGTTAAGTAGAAACTGAAGAATGGCTCATGGTTCTTCACCGTCAGAGCTTTTCATTGCTTAATTCTCCATTTAATTACCACGGCCGCCGGCGCCATGGTACCGCAGACGCCGTCGACATGAGATGCGGGCTCACTGGAGGCACACGACATTGGCTAGATTGACTTGGACACCGAGACGTGTGTCGTGTCGTGTCAGCGCGCGCGGTACGTACGCCCGTTCACTCAACGGGCGTGCGTAGGCGTAGCGCCATTCTTTGCAAGGAAAAAGTACACCAAAGGTTCCTCAACTTGTCATCGGAAAAAGTACACCAAATATTCTCGAACAACAAAACCAAATATATGATGTCCCTTAACTATATAAAACCGGTCTCCCGAGATCCTTCGGTGGTTTTAACTCCGGTTTTATTCTACGTGACGGCTGAGTCAGCATAGGACCCACATGTCAGGTGTCCACGTCAGCCTCCTTTCCCTCTTTCCCCTCTTCTCTCCCTTCCTCATCTCTCTCTCTCTCCCTCCCTTCGTCATCTTCGTCAATGTCGCGGCGAACCCGCGGCTCGGCGAGGCCGTGCTCCGACAGGTCGGCACGTCGACTGCGATGGTGGATCGGCTGGTGGAGATGCTCACCTGGAACGGCACCGTACTCTGAACTGGCGCCAGCCCATACCCCTCAGCTTCATGCCCCCTGAGCACCACATCGACGTCGCTCTTCTCGCCGCCGTCACCAAGATGGTACACATGCACCTCATCCACACAGGTCTTGGTAGCCACCGTGTACGGCCTCTGCGGCATGCAGCGGGCGTGGTTGACCTCGCCATTGTGCGGCACCGAGCGGGAGATGGACACAAGCGGGGTCGGGACGGCGCCGCTCGCCGCCGAGGCTGCCGCCGCCAGGCAGGGTGGAAGCGGGAGGGTGGCGTCGGCGAGCAGGAGGTGGTTGGCACGTCTCGTCGGAGGTGTGGGTTCCGAGGATGAGGCGGTAGGAGAGGGTGGAGTCCGGTGACCGGGAGTGGGAGGGGAGCCACTGGACGGTGAGCGATGGCCACTCGAGCGGCTGGGAGATGACGAGGTCATAGAGCACCAGCGCGTTCTTCTTCCAGTTTTGGTGCTCCTCCATCTCCTCCGCGGACGACCTCGTCGCCGGGGGTGGCGGTGACGTTGAGGAGGTTGAAGATAGAGACGGCGGAGGCGTAGAGCGGTGGGGAGGAGCGGAACACGAGGTAGGCATCGCAGGGCCCCGCAGTGGCGGCAGAGGTGACTTCGTACTCCTGCTGCGCCCAAGGCAGCTGCTGATGGCCCTCGCCCGCGCCACGCCGCGATGGCAAGGAGGACGAGGAGGAGGTGACCTCGTACTCCTGCTGCACCTGCGCTGCGATGGTGAGGAGGACGAGGAGGAGCATGGCGCCGCCATCTCGGATTCGCCGTAGTGTCTCCGCCATCGGCGAGGTCAGCGGCCGCCGCCACCACTTAGCCTCGCCGCCAGCTGCCTCCCCGCTGGCCGCTGTCTAGCCACTGACATCGTTTTTGCCGCGCCGCCATCGACAAGATTTAACGCGAGAGCTTCGCATGACGCCTGCCGTTTCGGCCCATTTGAGCCAATGCTATTTCGGGCGGGCGGCGGTGCCGCCGGCCGCCGGACCTCCTCTCCCCTTCCCCCGGTGGCCTCCTTCCCACAGCGCTGCCTGTTGCCGGCCTGAGAAAAGTGAAAGAGAGAGAAATGGAGAAGAGGGGGAAATAAGAGAGGGGTTATGAAGTGGCATCCTGACATGTGGGGCTCAGGTGGGTCCCACGCTGACTCAGCTGTCACATAGACCAAAACCAGGGTCAAAACCGCCGAAGGACCTCGGGTGACCGGTTATGTATAGTTAAGGGACCCCGTATATCTGGTTTTGCGGTTCGAGGACGATTTTGTATCCCAATGACAAGTTGAGGGACCTTCGGTGTACTTTTTCCTTCCTGCAAACAACGCAGCCTCAATCGACTTCGGCTACAAATATTGGGATCACGCGGGAAGGCCCATTATACTCTTCCCAGCCCATGAGCTTTTATCGGGCCCAACACCGCATCCTACCTAGGGTTATCAGAAGGGCGCCGCATATAAGACCGAGGTCCCAAGCTCGCGCCGCCGCCGCCGAACCGAGCCGCTTCTTCTCCAGACCTTGGAGCTCGCCGTCAGGGAGGGAGAGGAAGGACAGAGGTGAGCGGCGCGCCGCCGCGATGAGGGCCAAGGTGAGTGACTCCTCCTCCTCAACTCTCACGTTGGATGGATCTTGTTTTGATTTTGTGGGTGTTCTCTTATTTGTGTATGTATGTATGGTTCTCGCTGGTTAGCAAACAAGTTTACTACTAGTAAAATCTTATCCGTTCCGTTGTGGACATGGGGTCAATCGAAGCATTTATCTGAGAGGATTACCGTGTTAAAATGTTGTTTGATTGAGTGATTGTATACCTTTTTTTTTTCCGGATTGGTTTGGCATGATGAGGAAATCAATCGTTTCTAACTGATCCACTGGATGAGAAATTCCTCCTACTCATTCTGAATGCTAAAATTTTCTTTCATAATTCCGTGATTTGTGTCCAGTTTTGCGGTCATTTTGATTAAGCACGCCTTGCCTTATGTGAGATGCTGCGAAAAAAAAACTGTCTCTGTTATGCCCTGATGGCCTGATCTAAGATATGAGCAGCCAGAGTTTTCTGTGTACCGACTGCATTTTGGGGGATTTCGTGTTTCCTTGCAAGTTTTTGCTTCTGTTTAGCTAAAATTCTTTGCTCTGGTACGCAGTGGAAGAAGAAGAGGATGAGGCGGCTCAAGAGGAAGCGCCGAAAGATGAGGCAGAGATCCAAGTAATCCCATAGGCGATCGACTGATGGAGGAGGAGAAAGCGTCTTTGGCTCTCACTGCTGTCATCTCATCTATTTAAGTTGTTTAGTTTCCTTTAGTAAGAGAGAAAAAAAACTAATCAATGTACTTCTCTTGATCTTTGTCATGGGAGTAATTGATTGTACTGGACAGCAATGTTTCCATAATTCTATTACCTGGAGTTATCTGTCAGCAATTCTCATTGTGTCTCTTCTCTGTAAGAGAAGCTGTTCATCTGCGATTGTGATTGTGGAGATCTGAATTTTTTTGCTTCTTTCCAGTAATCCAGTGACAGTTTGCGTCTTGATTATTTTGCATTCTGTCGGAGTCTCTAAGATAGCTTGTTTTTGTCATTTTGAATTGGTATTCAGTTTCGGATACCATTCAGAGATTGCGAAAAATGCATTCAGATAGCTTGTCTTTGCGGTTGCGAATCGGTATTCAGTCTCTAGATAGTTTGCAGCTTTACACTTTTCTACACACGTAAACTTTAAACTTTTGAACTAAACACAACTTCAAACTTTTGAACTAAACACAGCCTCAGATGGCTTGTAGATTGCGGTTGTGAATTGGCATTCTGTTTCAGGCAGCGCTCGCAGTGGGAGTAATCTCGATTTTGGCATTCTGCTGGTTGTTCTATTGCATTTCTAGTGCTCTGTCCACTGTATATGATGTTACCTGTTTGCAGTATATTGAAATCTGCAAGCAAGTGGATATTATTCACAAATTCTCACTCACTCAAAACAAATTCCCTGAACCTCCTGAAATCTGGAGTGGACATTAATATTTCGAATTACTTGTTGCAGCGTGGATTCGCCAGCTTATCAAATGAACACAGATTTTATACACTGGTGTAATTAGTTTAATTGATTACAGCGCTGCCTCAGATTTTGCACGCACAGATCACCAGTTCACTACTCCCTCCGTCCCACAATATAAGGGATTTTGAGTTTTTGCTTGTAACGTTTGACCACTCGTCTTATTTACTTTTTTTTAAATATAAAAAACAAAAAGTTGTGCTTAAAGTATTATATATAATAAAGTAAGTCACAAATAAAATAAATAATAATTTCAAAATTTTTTGAATAAGACAAGTGGTCAAACATTGCAAACGAAAACTCATAATCTCTTATATTAGGGGATGGAGGGAGTACTTCAGTTCATCATCTAGAAAAAGCACCTCGGTAGCTTGTACGTCAACGACACAGGAAGGCGTATTCCATGTTCCCGTCAACGAGATCATCAAGACGAGGAAAATTTGGAAAAGAATCCCTCTCCTCCTCCTCGTAACCGACACGCCCCCGAAATCTTGCGCCGTTTCGATGGGGGAAGCCGAGGCTTCCTCCTCCTCTTCCTCGCGGAAGATTTCAAATCCCTCCTCCACTTCTCCAACGCCTTCGCCAACTGGAAACCCCGAATTCCCCGCCGCCTCCCCACCCGCGCCGCAAACCCCTAAACCCTAGCCGCCACCTCCACGGCGGCGGCCGCCGTAGCCATGGATTTCTACTCCGACGACTCCGACCCGGACATCGACGAGGACCTGCAGAGGGACCTGGACGCGCTGCGCCAATCCTGCATCCTCTCCGGGAACGACCCCGACGCGGCGGTCGCGCAGGTCTCCGCCTGCCTCGCCGCCCCGCCGGCGGCGGCGGCGGGAGCGGAGGTGAATGGCTTGTCTGATGACGACGACGAGGAGGAGGACGAGGATTTGGCCCTCGTCCGCAGCATACGTGAGAATCTCCTCCTCAACAAGGCCTCGCCGTCCTCGCCCCTGCCGCGCCCGATCTGCGCCTGGCCGCCCTCCGACTCGGAGGACGACGAGGACGACCTCGAGACGCTCCGCGCGATACAGCGCCGGTTCTCGCACTACCACTCCGGTGAGTTGATTCGCTCTCCCTTTGTTTGTTCGCGGCATATGCTCTAAGATAGGTTCCATGTGGTGTGCTAATCGATTTATACATTAGGACAGGAATAGGATGATTTTGTATGATACGACCTGGGAATCCGAATAACTGGGATAAACTTGCAAGGTACTTGACTCTTTGATCAAAACATAAATTACCCAATTCAACTCGTCTTCTATAAAATATGCTCTTGCATCGGTATATAATGTTTTTATGGGTTCTCTAGGGTTTATACTTCCTTAATTGTTGTAGCTGTAGAAGAAATTTAAGCTATGTAACACACTTGCTACATATGGTGTTATCTTCATCAGACCTTACTTCTAAAACATGGAATAGAATCTGTGCAAACTATATTTGTTCCTTAGAGCCACCAATATAATATATATAATTGAAGAAATAATATGATGTAACTAAGTCTCTGACGTATAGATATATAGTAAGTAAATTACATGTGGAGAACAGCCATGTCAAGTTATTTGTGTTTGTTCTTTTTCAGCTGTACATATCAATAGTTCAGTACATAATTGAAAAAAAAACATGTACAGTCTTTGTGTAATTCTTGATGCAGCAAATGAGTGTTTCATTGTACTCGAATGAGTCCTTAGTATTTTGATTTGCTTAATGCAGGTACCTCCAGTGGGTCAGAGATGAACACAAAAACTGAGGCATCAAAGGAAGGGAGTGGCAATATTTTTGGAAATGAACTTGATGAAGAATTTGATGCGGAGAAGCACAATAAAGAGGCAACTACCAGAACTGGGTTTCCTAAAGCTGCCTTGTTGTTAGTGGATGCTCTTAAGAAGAACAGAGCATGCCAGAAGTTCATTAGAAGGAAGATGATTACCATTGAAGCAAAAATTGAAGAAAATAAGGATCTCAGGGATCGTGTAAAATGTCTTTTGGATTATCAATTAAGCTGCAGAAAAGCATTTGGCAAAATTTTGTGCCAAAAGGAGGATCCTCGTGTTAGATTGATCTCCTCTCGAAAGCCATGTGCACAATCAACGAAGGTAATTATCATTTTGTATCTACATCTATGTATCGGATGTTTGCCAATGACATGCCTATGGATACATATCTGACATGGACTTTCTATTGCCTGAGAGCCACCAAGATTCGTGATTGTTGTAGCCAAATCGATTTTGTACATTTATTTGTAGTTCGCGAAGGTAGTTGTAGTTTCCTGTATGAACAAAAGTTAGTTAGTTTTGTATCGCGTGAACTAAATTAGAGTGTCTTCTGACAACTAGGATCATTTGCTGTTTCCTAGGTGGCGCTGGGTACTATTTTTTTGTTCTATGACATGTTAGAATTTTCCCTATGGTTGAAATGTATGACTTGTTCACTGTGATCAATTTGTCATGGAATTTCTAGGCATTGTTATAGTTTTATTGTTAAAAATTCGTACAAATTTTGTTCCACTACTTATATGGCTTGAAACAATGAATTTAAGGCAGATATGTTTCCCATTTACGTGACATCATTTTATGGCATGCTTAACATGGGAGTAATGTAGTTGTGTAGCACAAATTTATTAAGAGAAAATAGAATGGAGTAAAGTTATGTTTTTACCCCACAAAAGTTTCTTGTAACTTTGACAAGCTGAAAGTGAGCATCACTTGTTTAAGTTACTTTACTGACAATGTATGCTGTTCATCTGTTTTGATTTCTCTTAATCATCAATTCCACTTAGTTTTATATTAATAAAATAATATATAAGTATGCTTGTTATGGTGGATCTTGTCTTTGGAAAGTTCACTTTCCAGTTTCAATAAAGAGTTATATTGGAAACTAGCACTGGAAATTCAACTCTAAGATCAATAGTCCTCTTAGTTATGCTATGCTTGAGATCTTTTTACTGTCAAGAAGGTCGTACTTTATTTTTGAATTGCAGCTTGAGTAAGTTATTTCATGGATCAACTCAGTTGATGTGTCATTTTATTTTATATACATATTCTGTTGTTATTCTGACCACTGAGATTTAATATTGAGTACATGTTCCACAAACCTTCATATCTGATCTCTCCATCTTCTGGAGTTTTTCTTTTTTATATTGCTTATGGGCTCCCAATTTCTTGCAGCCATGTTTGATTAAGCAAAGTATCCTTTTAGATTTGCTATTAGTAGAATGCATATACTTACAATGAAGCAAATCTTTTGGTGCAGAATAAAGATAAGAAGACACCTGCATTATTTCTTGGCCCTGCAGATAACCCTCATGTTTCAAAGTACAAAATGGTACTGAAGCAACTCCCTATGTCTCTTCAGAAGCAACCGTGGTCAGATGTTGAGAAAGAGAAACTTGCTAAAGGAATAAAGCAGCAATACCAAGAGGCATTGATTTTGAACTCGATCAATAAAGGAAGGTGATACTGAGTTGTTTAACAGTTTCCATCATCGGGGGCATTTCTCGTAAATTTTGGGTGATATTTTATTTCGTGAATTAGTTTCTTGTAAATAAGTGTTCTTTATCCTTTTTGATGATATTCCCTAGTTTTTCTCTTTAGGTATTTTTTATGGTTCAAGGATGTGAAAATGAAATGAAAGATATTCTATGTCTTAATGTACTGCTTGAATGCCTGATCACTGTTTGTTAGTGTTTTCTCTGATGGGGGCAGTTTTCTGCTCCTGTCTATATCTGCTATTGGAGTATTTGTTTTCCACATGAAATGTAGGATCGATGCTAATCTAGTAATCTTTATGTTTTTCCTGTAATTTTACTGTGCTCTGCCAGATGTTTAAAATAATACTTGTTATGATGCAGTTCCACCGGTGACTTCAGTGCTGTAGATATGGCATATGCACTGACGAATACTGCTGGCAATTTTGAGGTTACTCCCGAAAGTCTTAGATCGGTCCTGCCATTAATAAACTGGGACAAAATAGCTGCTATGTACCTGCCTGGTCGATCTGGTGCTGAATGTGAATCGAGGTACTTTCACTTTTGTTATTTTTAATTGCTTCAAGTATACATCACAAGTCCCCTCTCTTTTATGTGCCTTGCAACACGTATTGACCTGTGGACAACTTGTGATTCTTAAAGAATTTCGCTTTCCTTGTCTAGGTGGCTAAACTTTGATGATCCATTGATTAGTCATAATGCCTGGACTGCTCGGGAGGAAAAAAGACTTATACTAACTGTTCAACAGCAAGGAATGAATAACTGGATTAACATTGCAGTTACATTGGGTACTCACAGGACACCTTTCCAGTGCCTTGTTCGTTATCAGCGAAGTCTTAATCACTGCATATTGAATAAGGACTGGGCTGAAGAAGAAGATCTTCAACTTCAAGCTGCTGTCAACACCTTTGGAACTAATTGGCAACTTGTATCAGCTAGTATGGATGGTCGCACTGGCAATCAGTGCTCTAACAGGTGATTTTTTTTTTGGCCTTCTCTTGCAATTGGCTATTACCATGTGTGATTTTGCTCTTTGTTATTGGCTACTTTCGGTGTTCATATCTTACATTTTTCTTTATATTTTAATCTGCTATCTCATGCCTTTGTTTTAGCAATCATGAATATCTGGAGCTTAATATCCTTCATAATCTTTTGTCTTGCATTCGGTGGAGAACCTCTGCCATATGAAAGAACCTAATGGTTATGGTTGTGGTGAATCTGCCATCCCACCATTTGTTTATGTAGTTAGATCATTTGTGTATGTAGCATGTAATAGAGCTCTCTGTGTTTTTATGTTCAGTTGCATATTATTTATGTTTTTTTCCGATAATTATTTTCTGGTTCAGAACATAGGATATATTTATTTATTATCCATTGTAAGTACATATTTTTAGCTAGTATTTCACATGTCTTTACGCTCAAATTTTGTAGGTGGAGAAAAACCTTAAACCCTGAAAGGTCAAGAGTGGGGAGATGGTCTCTTGATGAGGATAAACGCCTCATGGTAGCTGTGAAGTTGTTTGGGTCTGGCAGCTGGAATAAGATTGCTCAGTTCATTCCTGGTCGCACACAGAGTCAGTGCAATGAAAGGTAACTTTGTAATTTTAACATTTTAGATTTTACTCCACAGTTTAGTTTTGGATGGTAATCCTAGTTATTTGTGGTTGTTAAACAGGTGGCGCAATGTTCTTGATCCTGATATAGATCTTGGGGAATGGCGACCTGAAGAAGACTCCATACTATTGGCATCAGTCGATGAGTTTGGGCCTTGCTGGTCCAAGATTGCTGGGGCGAAGATTCCTCACCGTACTGACAATATGTGCTTGAGGTAACATTATTTTTAAACTTATATTCATTTTATTATGACAAATTGCATCAATAGTTTCATCCTGAGGAGAAACATACTTGCTAATATTATGCTGTTGTCAACTTCAGAAGATGGAGAAAGTTGTGTCAAGATAAATTGCCTTCAGTTAAGGCAGCTCAACAAATAAAGAAATCCATTCTTCAATGCAACTTTGTTGACAGAGAAACAGAGCGACCTGCCATTGGACCCAGTGACTTAATGCCACTTGTTCGCTCCAAAGTTGATGGAAGTGATGAGAACACTGTGAGGTACAGCTTCTATTGAGTTTCAATTCTCAATCTAATAGTAGAGTGTGTAGCACAAAAATATGATAACTTACTTTTATGTTCTGTTTTTTTATCAATCTCAATTTACCAGTGCTAAAGTCAGGAAGCCCCGAAAACGTTCTAGAATACCATGTGAGGACAATGTACTCCCTGGTGACACATCAAATTCTTCACCTTCTATGAATCTACCTCTTTCTGAATCTATTGATGCTGAGGCTGCTGTAAACACAACCACAGCAAATTCAAAGAAGAAACCATCTAGGTATGATTCATAACATTTAAACTTTACATAGTTTAGTTGTAATGAATATGCATGTTCTGTTTCCTTATCACTAGTTTCTTGTGTGCTTGTTTTACAGAAGTAGATCGAAAAAGCAAACTGATGAAAATCTTGCTGTCTGTGATGTCAACAACTCTTCTAATTGTTCTAGTGGAGCCAGGAAGAGAAAGAGATCTATTACTGACAAAAATCAAGTTGTGCAAAAGAAAATGAAGGGGTCTATCTCTGGTGATAATGAGGCTGTCGTAGAGACAGTGGGCACTATCAGTGCTGATAATGAGGTAGCCACGAAACGGAAGACTGGCTCTACATCTGTTGGTGAAGAAGGCACAACCAAGAAGACAACGAGGGGCTCTCTCTCTGGTAAAGGAGAAGTCAACAAGAGAATGAGGGGCTCTATCTCTGGTGTTCAGAAGGGAGCAACCAAACAAAGAATGAGGGGTTCAGTCTCTACTGATAATCATGGTGCTGTAATGAAAAGCAAGAGAGCACCATCAAGGTAATAATCGTGTTTTGGCATGTCTTTTCCAGATAGAGTTTACGTGAAAACTTTAGAATTATATTTTCCCTTGAGTTTCAATTATACCAGTATCATTATTTTCTCTCGACAGGAAATCAGCCGAAGAGAACTCAAAAGCTGATAGCATGGCTAATGCAGCCTTTGGGTCGGACCTTCCAACTGTGGCTTCTGAAGATAGAGATGCTAATAATGGAAATGTGAAAAATGGGAGACTCAAGTCAATGCCGAGGTATTTTACTCTTCCCTAGTCCAATTTATTTTTGTGTGGGCATGTGAATGTTGAGTTATCGATTAAGGATGGCTGTTAAGGGTCAATTGAGCTTTGAATTAAATTTCTCGAGCTTTTCATTTGCAGACCCAAGCAGATAAACATGACTGAGGGATCTGCAGACAAATTTTCCACATCCACGCGGCTTGCTGATTGCATGTCATTCGGCCGAATCAATGGATCCAGCAGGGTTGCAAGACACTTATGTGTGAGGTAGCAGAACAGCCACCTTTTCTTTTGTCATACTACTAAAACCTAAGTAGTTGACATTTTTTTGATCTGTTTCAGTGTCAAGCCGTTAAGCAACATGATCCAATCAAATGGACCTTCTGATGTGTCAGCTAAGGATCCCACTTCTGCTGAAACAGATCCCACTTCTGTTGAGAATAGCAACACCGCTTGAACCTCTATTGACTATCAGGTCTGAAATTTGGAATGTGTTATGCTTTCTGCTGGTGGTAATATGTACTGACAAGTTTCCATTTCTTTCTGTGCATAAAGCGATACTCGGAGCTTTACTTCTGCGGATGTGGTATTGTTGATAGGTGCAACTTCTTGAAGTGGGAGGAAGATATACATGGGAAAAAAATCATATTCAAAGGTAGTAAACATATCAAGTAAGTCTTTTCAGACAGGAAGAATGTTCTTATCCAGTAATTTTCCATGTCCAGGAAGATTCCCAATCAGCTGAAGCTGGCACATATCATGGTATAGTCCAAGGACAGTGTTATGCGATGTCTAATTACAAATGAACAGGGGATCTCAGTAGTCCCAGGATGGTCCTACAAAGGTCTCAAATTACGTGCATATGTGGATGATTTTATCATTGGCTTTAAGATGCAAGCGTGATGGCACTTGTCTCTGTACTGAAAAATCGACACCACAAATTAATTTACTAGTTTTTTTTTAGAAAATAGAAATTTTCAAGGAATGAATTGATTTTTGTTAGTTCGGTGGATGCATTATCGTGTTGCTTGCTCTTCTGCAGGAATCTCCATAAAACAAAACCAGCGCCTTCTTGATGTGATCTGTTACTGAACCGGTACACTGGTAGTTGTAAGTATAGTAGATGTTAACTGGGGTCATCCTGTACAACTGTACTCTTATTATAGACTCGAATTAAGAACAACCACTGACATGCCATCTTCCACCGTGAGAATAGAAAACCATTCTTTACCATATTGGTACCCAGTTTTGTATGCCATTGGGGATATCAAAATGGTGTACTAGATTGTAACTTGTTATCCGGAGAGTTGGTAACTCGTTTCCGGTTGGTGTACAGTACTTGTCCTACTTGGTACCTGGACGTGAGTAGTTCATCTGATTCTGAAACAATGGCATTTTCATTGATTTGAAATCGCACATTTCTCATAATATGAAAATTAATGGCATTTTCATTTTTTTGAGTCGCACTTCTTATAATTGGATAATTAATTTCGTTGGCATCAGACCTGTACTGTACACCCAACTTATGTCAGTTGATTAACTTTCTGGTCGGTTGATGGTACCCGTACGCACGGAAATCTTTATTAAATGACGAGGCGAATTTCTTCCGCCTGGCGCATGTGTTTTGTTGTTGCTGTGCTGTATTGCATATAGATATAGTAGTAAATAGTTTCATATTATTCTACTTTCTCCGTTTCACAATGTAAGTCATTCTAGCGTTTTTCATATTTATATTGCTCCGTTTCACAATGTAAGTCATTTTAGTATTTTTCACATTCATATTGATATTAATGAATCTAGATAGATATATATGTCTAGATTAGATAGATATATAGATTTATTAACATCAATATGAATGTGGGAAATGCTAGAATGATTTACATTGTGAAACAGGGGAAGTAATAATAAGATATATGTTCACCAAACCAGTATAACTTGACAATAAACAGATTCTTTTGCACCAGATCGTTTGAAAAAAAAAAACTCTTTAAGAGAAACAAACCAATCTGCTTCTAATTCCATTGTAAATTGCCGCATATTTTTTTGTCGGCACGGTGACCACAAAACGTTTTTCGGTTTGATGACTACAAGAGGGTAAGTACTAAGTACACTGTACACACCCTTGCAGTTCGGTGAGAAACCAACCAGGATAACAATTCTGAGGATAGCTTGTTGGATTTTTATTGTATACTGAATACATCAACAATATTACAATCTTCTAAAATCCTCCCATAATATGAATCTCAAGAATTGAACGAATGACCATAAGCGCTATATTACATATAACTTCTGTGAGTGAGCAATTGAAAGCCCTTGATGATGAACATTCCTAAGAATATATCCACCTAAGTTTTTAAGTTTTCAGCCAATAGATGCTACAGGGTAAATTCTCTTCACAAAACCATGGCCTGAGGGGGTCCGTAGCCGCTCCGGTGCTTCTTCTGCCATGTCCAGGCAACCCTGAGGCTCTCCAGGAGATCGGTATGTTGAGCAGTCCAGTTCAGCTCGCTGTTGATCTTTGCGGGATCGCTGTACACTTCGGCATAGTCACCGGGTCGACGAGGGAAGTAGTCGACCTTGATGTCAACTCCTGTTGCCTTCTTGCAAGCTTCGACAAATTCTTTCACTGACCTACCTGAACAGCCAAGTGGAATGAACATATGTTAGCTAATTAAGATGCTGAAAATGAGTTTGCATTCATGTTTTCCCTTATAATGAACTTATGATCATAATAGAATACGATCTTGACCTTTGCCTGTGCCAACATTGTATATGCCAACTTTGCCCCTTTCCGCCTTGTTGAGCGCCTTCACATGGGCGTCAACGAGGTCAGTGACATCGATGTAATCTCTTACACAAGTACCGTCAGGTGTTTCATAGTCAGTACCTTTAACCTGTAATGGAAAATGCTATTAATCAGCAATCCACTAAAAGCTAAGCAATCCTTATAAATGTGAATCTCAATGAGTAAGCAATAGGCTATGCTAGCAGCAATCAGGGCACCCTGTTCTTGAATGTAATAATTGAAATACTGGGAGTGAAGATGTACCTTCAAACCAGGAATTATCCCCAGTGCAGCATCAAAGCATGCACCAGATATACGGCCATGCTCCCGTAATTCAGGTTTTGGAGCCTCGCCAAGCCTTCCTTCAGGGTCAGAACCAATGACGTTGAAGTATCTAGAAGTATTAGGTTACATATTCGTAAGTCAGGAATCAAATGGTGGTTTAAATAGTGGGTTTCATGCTTTTGTTTTGTAAACGGTACATACCTTAGAATCATCACAGCCATGTCTGCCTTCTTGGATTTGGAAAAATCCAAGATGATGTCCTCTGCCATCTTCTTGGCTTTACCATATGGGTTGATCGGAAACTGTACAGTAGGATTTGGTGAGCAAAAGCCTTCAGCATTATCTGAAAGTAAAGAGGATGCAGAAGCAACAGCTGACCTGGGGAGTTCCTTCGGTGATAGGCATCTTCTCGGGTTCTCCATAGGTGGCACATGTGCTAGAGTAGATCAGGGTTCTCACATTGTGTGCTGCCATAGCCTCTAGCACAACTAAAGTGTTTGAGGTGATGTTATGATAGTACCTGTTTAAAATGTTTTCAGTATCTCGTGTGTCTTGTGGAGAGGTAATTTGATGGACAATAGAGACTTTAGTACCTCAAAGGCTCAAGTGTGCTCTCACCAACATAAGCGACAGCAGCAAAGTGCATGACAGCATCAAAAGCATTTTCTGCAAATATTCTATTAACCTAAGCATGTGCTAAGGAAAAAAGATCTTTCAAAAAATTCCTTCATCATATTTTGCCGCATTTTGAATGAAAGATATATCTCTACAGAAAAATTCGATTTGAGTTATTCAGAGAAATAAATCAGGATACAGCTTTTGGATCGCCTAAATCAGCATAGATGAACTGCAACCGCCCAGGCTCTGAAAACAAGTTCTGAAGAACCTTGATTGCCCCCATATTTCCTCTTGAAAGATTATCCTGCAGAAACCATATAGGCACAAGCATTCCATAAATTGCACTACAACAACACCAAATTCGAGGAAGAAATGGCAACACAAAGTCGCGAAGAAGTACCACTATGGTGACTCTGAAGGAATCTTTCAGCAGCCGAAGCGCAGCGTGCGAACCGATATATCCAGCGCCGCCCGTCACTAGAACATGCGTGACTCCGGGTTCATGGATGGAGAACTGGACACATCACACAAGTGAAGAGTGAAGACAAATGTTAGCTGCCTGACCATGAATTGTTCATGGCAACATACAGAGCTGCTGAAAAACATCTGAAATTGAGTTACCACACTGGGAGTCCTCCTATGGCAGGGCGGCTGTGTGAGCATGACGACGCACATGGCGGTGAGGAGCGCCACCATGAGGATCTTACTGAGGTACCGCGGCTTGCGCTTCGGATCGGAGAAGTCCATGTCTGGCACAACATGATGAGCTCAAATTCAGAGGCATGTACAACAAGGGGAAAAAATATTTCTAGCAAAGGACTAAAATTACAGAGCTCAAACCATAAAAAAACCAAAATTCCTGTTGCACAAGCAACAACTGGACCCAACTATGAGACAATCAAAAGGCACTTGCAGATAATTTTAGAGCTATCCAATTACATGAACCAACAATTATCAACTAATTCAGAAAAAAGAGAGAAAGAGACAAGGTTATCAGTAAGATAGGGTGAGATGGAAGGAAGCAGACAGACCTGAGATGAAATACCAAGATCTGGCAGGCCTCTGCTGGGGCCTGTTCCTGTTGGTGGGAAGCATCTGGAGCAGCAGCAGCACACCAAATCCCCTCCCAGAAAGAATCAAAGTTCCTCGGAGACAAGAACGCCAGAGATGATTCCTCCTGCTCACTGCCGGCCACCTACAGCGGCATCGAGGAAGAAAATCTCGTCAGAATCAGCGAGAGGACAGCACACACGACGCGGCCACGGGTCGCAGGAGCAGCAGATCCAACAACCACACACACGCAACTTCAATCTGATTTAATTACAGCTAATTCACCAGCGAAAAGAAAGCAGCATCGGCGCTGGCATGGATGGATGGATGGAGCGATGAAATTGCAGCGAACACGCGTAAATTAAGCCGCCAAGAAAAAGGGAAAAGAAAAGAAAAAGAAAGAAAAGAAACAGCAAGAAGAAGAGGAAGGTAGCTTCGCACCTAGCTTACCAGAACTCGTTCAGGATAGCAATGGCGGCGAAGCAGATCAGAGGAAAAGAAAGGTGAGCTTTAACACTTACCCGGACTAGTAGCCTACCACCTGCTGGGACGACTTGGCTGGCTGCCTCGGCGACGGCGGAGGAGAGGAGGGAAAGCAGGGGAGCCACCTACTTCCCGAGGCAGTGGCGGTGGTCCTAGCTCTCCCTCTCCCTCTCTCGTTGGCCGCGAGAAGAGGCGAGGCGAGGTGAGGTTGTTGATGAAGTGAGAAGAAGAAGAGGCTTTGAAGGGAGGAGGCGGCGCTGGCTGCTGCTGCTGCTCTGTCCGGTCGAGGGGGGAGTGGGGCCCACGCGGAGGAAGGGGACACGTAGCGTATGCGAGAGGGGGTGACGTCGTCGCGTATTTGCTGGGCCCCACAACCTCATCGGTCGGAACACGTCTGGGAGCACTACGAGGAGGTTCAAAATATTCCGTGTCTTTCGCTCTTTTTTTTTGTTTTAATAATAATAATAATAATAATAACTGGGGAAGAAAAATACTGCTGCACTATGTATATATCGCCGACACGCTTCCACTGTATTTGTCCTGAGGAGTTTATTTTTAGAGCTTCTTTTATTTATGCTAAAATAAATTTGTTGTTCGTAATTATTATATAGAAGTTTATAAAAGGCAAAGATAAATGTAATAGGAATAGATAAAGTGAGGAATAATTATATTGGATTTAATAAATTAAGTTGGAATATTCTAGTCTTTTTTTTATTGGTATATGTGTGGGATGGGTGAAAAATAAACTTATTTTAAAAGGATGGAGTATTTCTAATCCGTGTGCTTATTTGAAAAACTTTCTATATATAATTGTCTTATATCGCTAGAATTTAATTTTTAAAATTTTTAAAATTTGAACTATTTATTTACGCCCTTCAAAATCTATCATAAAATCTGAATATAGTACCTAGTTCGAACGGACCTACGTACTACTACATATTTGCATCTTCGAGGTTCAATTTTCTTTTTCTTTTTCTTATGGGAAATTCGGTCTCGATTGGTACTAGTAGCATTTTTACCGAGAGTGGATCACGAGTAGAGTGTACTGCTGTGTTTGTTAAATTTTGAGTGTATGACAGTCGGCTTGTTCCAAGAATCCAAGGACAAGTTTCACTTTTTCTTATGTACTCCTAACCAACAAAAACCGGCAACACAGTGTGTATAGTGGAGTACATAAGAAACTTCTGCAAACACATATAGGTTCTATTTAGTTCACAAACAAAAATCTTTCAGCATGTC